CCCAGGCCGATGACGTAGAGAATGCACCCGAAGATGTAAGTCTCCATCTCATGCCGTCCAAACCTCTCTCCAGGATGGGAATCTATCGGATCTGGTCAATCTCTTTACTACTGAAACCCCCACCCTCACCTAGAATATCCTCCATCTCTTCTCTATCCCAAAATCCCCCCGTCCAAAGGTCCTTCACCTGCATGAAAGGCAGGTGAGTGACCGGCTTAGTGCTCGATAAGGGGGCCTCACCTGCATGGGAAATGGGAGGCCCACTGCCACGCGTGCTGTAGGTCATCCTCAGAAAGTCGCGAATAAAGCCGTCAAGGCAGCGAGAGAGATAGTCAGCTACCAGAACAAAAAGGGAGGGGGATAAGGGGTCCTCCTGACGAAGGCCGCGGGTAGAAGGGAAAAAGGTCGTGGGGCTACCATTAATCAAAACGGAGAATGTGCAGTGCTCCACACACGCCTCCACAAAGCTAATCCATCGGTTAGGGAATCCCATCCGAAACAGTACCTCTCTGAGAAACGACCACTCGACCCTATGATTTGCTTTGGCCATGTCTAGCTTCAACACGAGGTTCGGGGTTCGTGTTCGATTCGCATGAGCGATATCGTGTATCATCTCCTGAGCCAAAAGGATATTATCGCTAATGACTCGATCCTGATGAATCCACTCTGGTTCGGAGAGACAAGGTGGGGGAGGAGAGGGGCGAGGCGCCCGTTGAGGATTCTAGATATGATCTTGTTAGTCACGTTGCATAAATTGATAGGTCTATAGTCGGACCATGAACTAGGTCCCGATCTCTTCGGGATCAAAATGATAGAGGTTGCTGTGAAGTTCTCTGGCATCTAGTGGCCAGAGAAGAAGTCCCTCGCAGCTTCCTCTACGCCAGTTCCCACAATCTCCCAGCAAGACTGGAAGAAGAGGGACGAAAAACCATTCGGTCTGGAAACGTTGTTGGGATCAATCCCAAGCACAGCCTCCCTGACTTCCTCCTTACTCGGGAGGTCACAGAGGTCAACAAGGTCGACCGACTGCGGGATGGTCGGAAAAAGGGTCGGGTCGGGGTGCGTAAGCAAATCCCGCTCAGAGGAAAAAAGAGAGTGGAAGTAAGCCCTAGCCGACTCCCGTATCTCGGACTCCTGGATCACGGATGACCCATTATCCTTGATGCTATAGATATACGACTTGACTCGCTTCTGCCTCACGAATCCCTGGAAGAACTTGGTATTACGCTCCCTGTTGTTATGTGATTCTTAACAACGATGTAATTTATGATTAAGTGGGTAATTTGGAATGATTTGGACGTAAAGCATGTAAGATTGAATCAACAATGGCCCCGGTCCGAGGTGAACCGAGGTGAAGAGCCGTGATGGGCTTTTACGTGTTGCTTTATCAAGTTTTTTCAGTTCGGAGAGAGATCCCCGTACAAATGTCATAGGTCCGCTATTTATAGTAATTTCGGGTTGATATATCGGGATTTGTGCATGACTTTTTCGAATAAAGCTATTTTTTATGGGCGGTTCGAGGCAGGGGGTCCCACATAAATGATGACGGATCTTGTGGAGCTGGAGGGCAAGACGTAAGCGCCTTGTCACCTGCTTAGGGAGGTGACGACCTCGGTTCATGTTGATCTCGGAAGATGTTGACCTCGGTAGTCGTTGACCACTTCGGTCTTTGGTGGTTCAGGCCGGTTCTTTTGTGTAGATCGGTGCGGTTCTGATTCACGTCGGTTTAACAGTTAATCGCATTTAATAGGATGCTTAAAACCTCTTAACAGTGTCTTGCCGAGTCGGATAATAACAGAGAGGCCCCCAACATCGATGGGCATACGGAGTGATGGTCGTTGATGTTGCAATATATCAGGTATTTAGAGACCATGGATCGGCAAGAAGTCGGCGGTAGGATGTGGTCTATGGTGTTCGGTGGGTCATCTTCGGTCGATCTACTGATGTAACCGAAGTGGATCATCTGTCCGAAGTGTGGACTGTATGCCGAGGTGAAGACACTTGGTAAAATTTGAGTAACTTGTAGGCAGTTTGGGCAGGAAAAAGACGAACAGTCGTAACGGTCAATTTAATGTGAGTGAATGGTTGCGCCGTAATGACCTTAAATGAGGTAACGGTCGACTTTTAATAGGACGCCAAGTGTATTTGTAGGTGCCTGTTAGGCGAAGAGGTGGTGTCGATTGGAATTAGGGGTCGCGTCGGTTAGACGCGCCCCTAATTAAAATCTCTAACGGTCGTGAATCGGTAATTATAAATAGGGTTTCGCAGCGTCTGATTGAACTTTCTTCACCTGTGCTTTCATTCTCGAATTTTCATATCACTTGTCGTTTGAAGTTCATCTGATATTCTGAAGAATCTTCCTTGCTTGCTGTGTGAGAGATTTTTGGTAAGCTTTTTCTTCAATTTCTTTTGTTATTCTTCTTGTATTTCGTTCAATCGTACGATGGCGTCGAAAGGAAAGGGAAAGGCGGTGGCAAGTTCATCAAGCACGGAGTCGGTTCCGTTGGATGTTTATCACGATTCAGAATTGGTCGAGTTGGCCTTCGAATACCATCGGTGGGACCCGTCGTTGGTAAGACATCTGAATATCCAGTTAAACGACGAGGATGGTGACTTGGTAGTTGAGCATAATGCA